GGGGGGGGGGGGGAGCAGAGGTGAATACAGGCTGGCTGGGCCTTCTGGGCCCCCAGAGCCCCACAGATGGCTATTCTTTTTCTTTTTTTTTTTTATGTTTTCTTCATTGATTTCAGAGAGAGGAAGGGAGAGGGAGAGACAGAAACATCAATGATGAGAGAGTCATTGATCGGCTGCCTCCTGCGCGCCCCCTACTGGGGATGGAGCCTGCAACCCGGGCCTGTGCCCTGACTGGGAATCGAACTGTGACCTCCTGGTTCATGGGTCAACACTTAACCACTGAGCAACACCAGCTGGGCCCAGATGGCTATTCTTGCTTGCCTCCCCCCACCCCCACCCTCACATCACCCTAGACCTCTATTTCCAGCCACAGCCACAACTTTTCTGAGTGTGGCCTTGCCCCCACCCAAGTCCACCTGTACCACAGAGGGTATTAATTGTGTACCCTCCCAACCCTCCATCCCTCCATCCCTCCACCATCTGCCTGCCCCTCGCGCGACCCCGCACCTCTCCATGCACCCACTCACCACCTACCCATTCATCTTCCCTTCCACCTAGCCACCCACTCGCCACCCGGTCACCCACCTGTTCACTCACTCACCTATCCTGTCCACCCACTCTTCCCTGGACCCCCACCCCGCCCCTTCACCATACTGTGTAGTCAGTCGTCCACCTAAACCCCCACCACGCACACACCCGCCTACCCATTCATTAACGCCTTCACCGCCCGCCTGCCTTACCATCACATCAAATAACACTGAAGTCAACTACACTGCAAGGTGCTCAGGGAACATGGAAACGAACAAGAAACAGCCCCTGCCCTCAAGAAGCACAGCCTGTGGCAGAGCCAGGAAAGCAAACCAAGTGTGTTTACACTGTGGCACGTGTAAACACGGCACCGAGGGCTCCAGTAGGGGGATCGGGAAGGGCTTCTGAGGAAGTAGCCCTCAGCTGAGTTTGAAAGATACCAGCGTTTGCCCGGCTCAGGTAGCCCCCCCCCCCCCC